AATTGTCTACATTTTAACTCTGTGGTACCATTACTTATCTTAAGACCTTTAGATGGACACTCGCTCATAAATTGCTAAGTAGATCATGGCTGCACTGAGACTAGTTAGATCTTCACTGACTGACTTTCCCCAGAAAACTCTGCCACTAACATATCAGGAACGTTGAAATTCTCTATCATCCTTCCTGCATGTGAAATTTGTTTAGATTAATAGTGTATGCCTGGAAAAGAACACATATAATAAACATGCTGAAAAACACCTGTATTGTCAATTCTACAACTATGACCTTAGTTTGTCTGCAGTTTTGAAAGAGAAAGCTGTGCTGAATTCTTTGTATAAGTTTTGGTTTCTAATGCTTGCTTGATAAGCAGGTACCTCAAAGCTTTCACCTTTTCTGGACAACCTGATTGGACAAACCTGATTGGAATCTGAGTTAACAAGTTTTACCTGCATTGTGGGCTCGTAGGAAAGCTGCGCTTAGGGAAGTGGAAGTTACTACCTTTGTGCAACTGAATCCTGCTCTTTGAGTTTCTTCTGAGGACCTTTTCCTTCACATATTTCCTTTTCCTCATTTTGGGAAAGAAATGTAGTTTGATTCTTTTGATGTTTAGCTCTTATCATTTTTGTTAGTTTGTCCATATACAACAGTAAATATGGTATAATAGAGTGTCGCTAAAAGGTTGAAATATGGCGCATTCCCCAGAAGAGGAACAAACCCAGGATTACCTTTTCAAGATTGTTTTGGTTGGTGATTCAGCTGTTGGTAAATCAAACTTGCTAGCTAGATTTGCTAGAGATGAGTTTTACCCTAATTCAAAATCAACTATAGGAGTAGAGTTTCAGACTCAGAAGATGGAAATAAATGGGAAGGAAGTCAAGGCTCAGATCTGGGACACAGCTGGTCAGGAGCGGTTTAGGGCTGTTACATCTGCATATTATAGAGGTGCAGTTGGAGCTCTTCTGGTCTACGACATCAGTCGACGCCAGACCTTTGATAGCATTGGCAGATGGCTTAATGAACT